TGATCTCCAGTGCTCTTATAAAACTGTAACACAAAATATACATGCAGATAGCTTTTGGTAGCTATTTTGAACCTGAAATTCCATTTGGGACATAATGTATTAAGAAAGTATGCCTATAAGTAAATTAATTTATGAACAAGATTTTAGGATGGAACTTGTTATAAACTGAATTATGTCCCCTCAAAATTCTTATGTTTAACCCCAAACTCCTAATGTGATTGTATTTGATAGACCTTTTAGGAAATAAACAAGTAATTCATAAAGGTAGGGTGCTAATCCAATAGGATGGGTAGGCCTGTAGAGTAAGAATCAGGACCAGCAGATGTGATAATGGTTATGTTGCTGAACTCCTACGTAGTCGACTGTGGTTCACATCTCAGACCCGGTGGCTTAAAACCCACACTGGCCTTATGTGCGTGTGTGCCTGAGTTCCCAAGAGGAGAATGGAGGAGAGGGAATTGCGGTGTGGCCATTCCCCTGGGCGGTGATTCTCACTTTCTGTCTGTATGTCTCTTTCTGTCATTCTGGTGAGTGCATACACCCTATAAATCTCTCTTAAAATAAAAAAGAATTGGAAGCCAGGTAAGGGAAAAATCCACATGAGGATGTAGCAGAAAGGCAGCCATTTGTAAGGCATAAACAAAGCCCTCATGAGGAAGGAATCACCTGACATCTTGACCTTGGACTTGCTAGCCTCAAGAACTATGAGAAATAAAATTATCTCATTTAAGCCATGCAGCTTATGTTATGTTGTTCTAGCAGCTCAAGTTAAGAAAAATATTTTCTTTCTCAGAATTACATACAAGTACCCATTTATGAACAGATTATTTCCACAAAACTGGACCATCATTACTATTTAGTTATAAAGCAAATATATGTAAAACATATAAAAGAGTTAGATATACAGGGGCCAACAGATAGCATGATTACATCACTAGACTCCCATGTACTCGACCGTGATTCTAGTCCCAGACCTGGTGGCTTAAAAATCACAGTGGCGCGTGTGTGTGCATGTCTAAAATCCCAAGAGGAGAATGGAGGAGAAGGGATTGTAGCATGGCCATGCCTCTTGGGGCATAATTTCTTTCTGTTTCTCTGTCTCTCCAGCAAGCGAATGTACCCAATAGCAAAATTCTCTTAAAAAAAGAACATAAAATAATAAATGTTTATGTTTAAATATGAGTAAATGAATGTATGATAAATCCTACAGATCCTAAACAGAACCTTTATAATGCAAAATAACCTTCATAACGCAACTAGTAGATACTCAATAAATGTTAACTGAATTAAAACAAAGCTACTTTGATTAGTACAAGTTTATACCCCAAAATTAATGACACAGGCATGGATTATTATCTCTACAAGAATACTTTCAGGAAAATAGATATGGATGGTACAAAGGTATTTGTGACCACACAATGCCATGATATTACAGCTGTTCTCAGTTTATAGAATATTTTCCTAATCAAGAGAAATTTCTGGAATCAAACCATTGTAGTGAAATCATGATTTCATCATTAAAATGTGAGTGACACTGGATAATTAATTATTGTTTCTACATCTCAGTTACTTTAACTGAAAATGCCAACTTTTCAAAGTACTATATACATGTTATTTTAGTGAGGATTAAATGAGTAAGTAATAAGCAAATATTAGCTACTTACAGTATAGTATTTATAATCTCTTGGAAGGATATTTGCTATTGTTTTAAGAAATAAAAAAATAAAGCCTACAATATATTCCAAAGTAAATAGATGTTATAATTACACACATTTCCTGAGTTATCCAGTAAGTCTTTGGGGATTTATTGATTCATTTTATCTTTACTTGCCTTCCCAATAATTTGAAGTATGACTAAGGTTAGCTTTTCCATGGCACTCTGTGATGGTGTAAAAAGTGGTTAAAAACTAAACAAGACAAGGTAAATAGTGGTTTTTATTTTTCAGCTTGAGCAACTGTCTTCTTCAAGGAGATATCCAAATAAAACTTGACTCAAACTTGGGACCAGCAGTTAGCGTAATGGCTATGTTGCTGGACTCCCATGTAGTCGACTGCGGGTCGAGTCCTGGACCCGGTGGCTTAAACTCATGCCGGGCGCATGTGCGTGTGTGCCCAAGATCCTGAGAGGAGAATGAGGGAGAAGGGATTGCGGTGTGGCCATTCCCCCTGGGGGGGTGATTTCTCGCTTTCTGTCTCTCTGTCTCTCTCCGTCTGTCTGGCGAGCGCACGTGCCCTTTAGGAAAAACCTCTCAAAACAAAAACAAAAACAAAAACAAAACTTGACTCAAACTCTTATGATGACTTGGTTATAGAATATTTTCCTAATCAAGAGAAATTTCTGGAATCAAACCATTGTAGTGAAATCATGATTTCATCATTAAAATGTGAGTGACACTGGATAATTAATTATTGTTTCTACATCTCAGTTACTTTAACTGAAAATGCCAACTTTTCAAAGTACTATATACATGTTATTTTAGTGAGGATTAAATGAGTAAGTAATAAGCAAATATTAGCTACTTACAGTATAGTATTTATAATCTCTTGGAAGGATATTTGCTATTGTTTTAAGAAATAAAAAAATAAAGCCTACAATATATTCCAAAGTAAATAGATGTTATAATTACACACATTTCCTGAGTTATCCAGTAAGTCTTTGGGGATTTATTGATTCATTTTATCTTTACTTGCCTTCCCAATAATTTGAAGTATGACTAAGGTTAGCTTTTCCATGGCACTCTGTGATGGTGTAAAAAGTGGTTAAAAACTAAACAAGACAAGGTAAATAGTGGTTTTTATTTTTCAGCTTGAGCAACTGTCTTCTTCAAGGAGATATCCAAATAAAACTTGACTCAAACTTGGGACCAGCAGTTAGCGTAATGGCTATGTTGCTGGACTCCCATGTAGTCGACTGCGGGTCGAGTCCTGGACCCGGTGGCTTAAACTCATGCCGGGCGCATGTGCGTGTGTGCCCAAGATCCTGAGAGGAGAATGAGGGAGAAGGGATTGCGGTGTGGCCATTCCCCCTGGGGGGGTGATTTCTCGCTTTCTGTCTCTCTGTCTCTCTCCGTCTGTCTGGCGAGCGCACGTGCCCTTTAGGAAAAACCTCTCAAAACAAAAACAAAAACAAAAACAAAACTTGACTCAAACTCTTATGATGACTTGGTTAAAAAAAAAACAAAACATAAAACAAAACACAATAGAAAACAAAAAAAAACTTTCAATTTAGTGGACAAATGGTAAGTTCCAGTGTCCATTTGAATTCCCTCTTTAGCTGATGGCACTGACTATGACATCAGCTGAATACTGACAGAAAGCGCAGATTGCTTCAGGAGTGTGGTAAAAAGGTTTGAGCTGACAGGGTCAAAGGTCTGTGTGAGGCTCCTAGGACCACTGGGTATCCTTACTAAACTAGAGCGTACTCATTTGATAAACACTTCTCAGGTCTTTGCTGTTGGCCAGGCATTACAAAATGGGTATAACAGTACCTGAAATGGCCGGAGCTAACTTTTGCTTATTACTTTCTCATTTAATCCTCACTAAAATATATGCATATAGCACTTTGAGAAGTTGACATTTTCACAGTTAAAGTAACCAAGACATAGAGACAATAATTCATTAATTGCCCAATGTCACTCACATTTTAATGATAAAATCATGATTTCATCCCAATGGTTTGATTCCAGAAACTTCTCTCTTCACTACTATACTGTTGTTTAGAAGATCTTGCCTTTCTATTTATGTACGTATTGTCACTCATCACTTATTTATTCATTGCCCTTGACAGCATGTAAGGTAAAACCTCATGAAAAAAGACATGGGAAAATATTTTGAAAGTGCACAGCACACTGTGAAAATATGTTATTGTTATTTATGGTATTTGTTCCATGTGATTAGTCCTCTTAAACTTAATTTTCATTAAAAATAAAAAAGCAAAAGCTTTGTTTATGTGGGACTTCTCTCCATTGACCTGTTTTGGAAATCTTGATATTTATATTGTCATGCACCTTTTATTCCTTTTCCTAGAGCTTCATGTAATAGATGGGTTTTAAAATTAGAGACCTCCACCATCTGATACTATTGTTTGTTATGTAATATTTTATATGTAAAAATATGTAACATATATGATAATTACAGACCACTCTTGTTATGTTTTCCTATCTTTATTAGATATGTTCTCTAATTACATACATGGAAAAAGAGTAAACGGCATTTTGAAAAGGGAAATCCAAAATATTGACGCATGCTTTGTTTTGATAATAATGTTCTATAGCATAGAAGTAACCATGTATTTTCCTGTGCCCAATTTTAATAGCAGTTTGCACTGCAATGAGCTGCCAAATCATACTAAATGTTAGACTCTTAAGTTTCTACTTTGGAAAGCAAATTGCCCCTTGCAGTTTACTGTTGTTACTGTTTTAAGTGTAGGGACCGCACACTCCTTCCATTTAGTTGGAGAACCAGGACTGCGGTTGCTACTTCCTACTCTCTGACTGCTACTGCTCCTGCTACCTGCCTAGTAATTGTCTTTGGCTCCCTGTAAACCTCCAGTCAGAAAGGTATTTGAATTTTCCCCCTCTAGCACTTGCAAATCCGATTTTTATGTATAACTAAGTGCTCTTAGTTTTTACTCTATCTACTACTGGGGCCTGGTTTCTAGCAGGCCTGTAACTAAGCCAGATCCGGCCTATGTAATGCTGTTTGTAATGAGAAATCTAAACAGGGAATGGCAGTGAGGCATGGCAGGAATGTGTTTCCATTGGAGAAGTCAGTGTAGAGAAAAAGTATAAGCAAAGCCATGTCCAGAAGGCCTTTTCAGCTGGCCAAGACGGAAGACTAATGTTATTGTACATAGGCTGTTACCCTGCCAGCCCTTCCTCACAGATTTGCTTTCTCTGTTCCCCTCCCCCCAATTCCCTTCCCCCTCCCTCCTTCATCCCTTCCTTCTCTTTTTCTGTCGTCTTCTCTCCTTCTCCGGGCTCTGCTGACTGTTTGCTCAGGTGGACAGTGACACCGTTTGGAACGAGCTGCACTCGTCCGGTGCTGCACGCATGGCTGTTGGCTGTGTCATCGAGCTGGCTTCCAAAGTGGCCTCAGGAGAGCTGAAGGTGAGGTCTGGGTTGCATTAAGTGTGGGAAATCCAGAGAAGAAACTGAAACAGAGATGTTGTTGTTTGGGAATTGTGGGGAGTGTGGTGTGGTAATAAAAGGAAAGAGGTGGAGGGAAGAGGGCAGGGGATGGCCACGAAGGTGTGATAATCACTCATCCATAGGTAGGCAGTAGCTGCTGCTGCTTGCAGGGCCCTCTTCTCCAGAAAACTCTGTGGTCAGGGCAAGCCGGTGTGTTTTTAGGAAGATAGAGATGGTGAGTAAAGGCACGGACCAAGTTAAAAATACCCTTAGTATATACATATCTGTCATGCCATCGTGGGATTTTCTTTTGAAGTGATTTTTAAAATATGATTACCAAGTAGTACGCATAAGCTCAGAATACCACCCAGAGAGAAGGAGGGGGGAGAAAGGTAAATACCAGACCAAGACGGGAAGGATTGGAAGGAAGAAGGAAATTGTTGATTAGGAGGGTAATGATCCAGAGTGTGTTTTTCTATGAAGGAACTTCAAAAATGAGCTATGCTTTATTGTTCTTTTCTTCTTATGGTCTCTTCTTTTCGACATCATATGAAAAGAACAATGTCCAAACCCCAGTGTTTCCCAGTCTAAACAATTTATAAAAGCCGGAGACCTGACAGACGTTGACATTTTATTTGGTATTTTAACAGTGCTATTTAAAGGTATGCCATGTGCGTCTTGAATGCAGTTACCCCAATAAACTTGGTTGGTGCTAACATAGCTCTTTAATGCACTAGTTCACACACTTCGTAATGCAATCTGGGTGGTGATTGATTGATTTGGTGTTTTTAGGCATGGTGGGGATTCATGGCAATACATTGTGACCAACAGCATATGCATCTTGAGTTCTATTCATCTTAGATAAAATCTAGTTAGAAGTATTTTTATTTATGTCTAACGAATACAATTATACCTGGCTTTTAAACTTGTGATTAAAAATGCAAGGTAGCGATATGCAATTCACAATGCAGTGTTTGTCTCAGAATTTTTTCCTCTAAGAAGACAGAACCTACAGCTATATACTTTGAGTAAGTGAGCATATTAAAAAAATAATAATAAAATAAAATAAAATAGATAGATAGATTGGACCAGCACGTGGCTTAATGGTTACGTTGCTGGGCTCCCATGTAGTTGACTACAGTTTGAGTCTCAGGCCCTGTGGCTTAAAACCTTACACCAGGCATATGTGCATGCGTGCCCCAAATCCAAAGAGGTGATTAGAAGAGAAGGGATTGCGGCATGACCATTCCCCCATGGGGTGATTTCTTACTTTCTGTCCCTCTGTCTCTCTTTGGCAGGCACACTCATCCTATAGCAAAAATCTCTCAAAAGAACAAAAAAACCCTAGATGTTTCTATAGACATTTGATATGATCAGTATTGGGACAGTAATTGCTCATCTCAGAGTCTTAAGGAGCCATTAATGAGTTGCTCACTATTCAGTCTTTATCTTTGGTAATGAACAGTTAGAAAGTGGAAAGGAATCAATCTTCAGGGAGGATTTGGTTGTCTTTCAATAGCACTTAGAGAATAATTCTTCCTGTTTGAGTGATGTCACTCATAGTAATAAAATAAATGAACATTTTAAAAGAAGAATATTTGAGAGTCTAGCTTTTTTTAAAAGAATTATTTATTCATTTATTTAATTCCATTTTTTATCATTGTTTTTAGTTTTACCAGAAAGAGACACACACTGAAAAAGAAAGGGACAGTGAGAAAGCAAGCCACCAGATCCAGGACTTGAACCAGGGTCGGCCATATGGGAGTCCAGCACCTTTAACCACCATGCCACCTGCTGGCCCCTGAAGGTCTAGCTTTCAAATGAATTCAGCTGGCTGACAACAGCTATGTATGCCATTATACTGTAATTTTTAACATTAGGCAGGCATTGTTGCACTTACTAACAAAAGTAGTTATTAGATTAGCATTCACAATTTTAATTATTTTATTTGTGGAGGTTTAGGCAAAATTCAGAATCTTCTCAGATTCCCCATATATTTCTTATGCTCATTAAAGTCATCATATTAGGGGCCAGCAGGTGGCATGGTGTTTAAAGGTGCTGGACTCTCACATGGCTGACCGCGGTTCTAGTCCTGGACCTGGTGGCTTACTTTCTCACTTTCCTTTCTCTCTTCTCTCTCTCTCTCTCTCTCTCACACACACACACACACACACACACACACACACATTCACTGTCCCTCTCTGATCAAATAAATAAATTAACTAGATTCAATAATGTATTTCTTTAAAAAATAAATCACATTATTAGCTCTACTGTGTGCTGAATCACTGAAAGTATACACAAAGAGAGTTGAACAAAAGCCTCATTCCATTCTGAGGTGGCACCCATTTAAAATGGACAATTCTAAACAAAGCATCAACAGATATAGAATGGACATGCTAACTACCAGCTCTAATATCATTGGTTATTTATGTTAAGAGTAAGGATTTGTACAAATGCCTTTTCTCCCCCTAATTAAGGCATCAGTAGGCATAGTTAAAAAGAAAATCATAAAACAAAGAACCAGACTAAATGTCAAGACATCTTGATCCAGGCTCTGTCCCTTACATATTGTGCAAAAAGGCAATAACTTACATTCTTAATTCACGAAACATAATAATAAATACACATTAAACCTTAAGCAATCATAAGAAACAGACTTTGTTTAAATTATTTAAATTCTTTCTGTTCTTATCTCATGCATATCTTTCTGATTCAGAGATAACTGCTATTTAAAAAAATGATTGCTCTCCTTTCCTTTATTAGATTTAAATGTGTTTTTACCTTTTTTAAAAATGGAATCTATTGAATGAATTTTGATTTCAGTTTTCTTTTTTCCCCTTAAAATTGTGAGGATTTAGTCATATAGGGGAGATTACATATATATATATATAGATAGATAGATAGATAGATAGATAGATAGATAGATATTCCTATTATTGTCATTATTTACACACACACACACCCCTTTTGTAGTCATTGATATTAATTATACCCTTTATACCATAATTCATTTATTCATTAATCTCTTGGACATTTTAATTCTTTTCAACTTTTTGGTTTTTTTGAATAATGCTGTATGAACACTCTTGAACAGGTCTGCTCTTTTACTATGGTAAAACTGCAAGTAAAACAAGCAGCTCCCCAAGGCTAGCCACATACTACACTTCAGTAGGTAATGCCAAATGGAATTTCAAAGTCATTTTGTCACAACGATATCAGCAAAATGTGTTTAAAGCCCCAAATGTTTTTTCCCTCCATAAAGCAATAACAAAACTGGCAAAATTTGTGTAATTTGTGTTTAATTTTGTCAGAATTATTATTTTCTTTTAATTCTAGATATGAACCAAAGACTTCAAACAACTCAGCATTTTTTTTTTTTTGAGAGGTTTTTGCTATGGGACATACGTACTCACCAGAAAAACAGAGAGAGACAAGACAGAGAGACAGAAAGCGAGAATTCATCCCCCAGGAAGGATGGCCACACTGCAATTCTCTCTCCACCATTCTCCTCTTGGGATCTTGGGTACGCACGCACACATGCCCGGCACGAGTTTAAGCGACCGAGTCCAGGACTTGAACCATGGTCGACTACGTGGGAGTCCAGTGATGTAGCCATTATGCCATCTGCTGGTCCCAGGAAGCATGTTTTATAAAACAAACTGGGGGCCAACAGGTGGTGTGATGCTTAAGGTACTGGACTCCCATTTGGTCAACTTCAGTCTGAGTTCCAAACCTAGAGGCTAGCTTTCTCACTTTCCCTCTCTCTCTTTTCCTGTCTCCCTCTGGTGAGCACACATGCCCTCTGGCAAATTTAAATAATAATAGTGTTGATAAATAAAACAGAATAAGTATTTTTTTTTTAAAAGAAAAACTGGCTGAATCTTGGTAAGAACAATGAACTTTGTGGTATTTTAAGCTCACCCTTTTTCCATCTTCCCCTTTCCAGCTTCACAGCAGCCTTAATAACAACCTGCATTGTCTTTGGAAATCAGTAACTTGGCACAATATGATTGGAGCTGGAAGTAGCACAATACAATTGGAGCTCCTTTAAAGCACCATTCCCAGAGTATTGTTATTACTTGGCCTGTCTGGTGTTTCCTTATAAGACCCACTTGCAAAGCTATTTTTATTTGACCTCATATAAAAGTACACCCAGCTTGAAAGCCTTTTCCTAGAAGCACATGTTGAAAATAATTAGAGGTATTTGATTAACTTTGTAGTGGCCTGAAGTGGTAGTTTATAATAATGGCTAATAATATAAGTTATTGTTGTATTAAAAAATACAACAATTTAATTAAAGTTACTATAGGGACTCATTAGAACAATGTGAGCAGATGGGGAGGAAATAATCAAACTTGAAGACAGTGAATTTAATAGTATCTAGAAAAATAGATGAAGAAAAATGAATAGTGCTTAAAAGACCTACAGGACATATCAACTGTATGAATATATGTATAATAGGAGTGGGAGAGAGAGAGAGAGAAAAGAACAGAGAGAATATTTGAAGAAATAATGGTTGAAAATGTCCCAAATTCAATAAAACAAAAAGCACTTCAGTCTACATATCCAAGTTCAGTGAAATCCAAGTTGGGTGAACTCAGAGATATCCTTATCTAAAAACAGCAAAATAAGTTGTTGAATATCAAAATGAATAGTCTTAAAAAACAGAAAGAAACAACTTAAGAGTCCTCACTAAGATTAACAGCTAACTTTTCATCAGAAATTATGGAGGCCAAATGACAGTGGGGTGACATATTCAAAGTGCTCCGAGGGAAAAAAAGACCATCAACCAAGAATTCTATATTTTAAGAAAACTATCGTTCAAAAATTAAAGTAAATTTAAGAGATTGCCAGACATGTAAGAATGGAGAAAATTCTTTGACAGCTAACTTACCTAATAAGATATGCTAAAGAGAGTTCTTTAAGTTAAAAAGGAAATAAAAGGACCATAGACAATAACTTGAATTCACATGAAA